TCGATCTGCTGAACATATTAATGCCCACCCCGGATCCTAACTTTTGGGCTTCACAGTACAAGTAGGGATGTTCCTTTCCTTTCACTCTAATTCTTTCTGAATTTATTCTGAATTGAATTTCAAATCTGTGCTTCTCTTAAGTGGAGAGTGTGTACTGTGATGAGCATTTTCCTATGAATAAGTTAAGTCTGTACTGTGATGAGCCATTTGCATATCTGGAAATGGATCTGAGTACCAATGGATGTGCCCTGAGAATAAAGTGTGTGCTAATTGCAATGTGTAAATGCCTAGGCCAATGTCTATGAAGACTGCTACTAGCATTGTCTGAGACCAAAAGTACTATGATGATGTGGGATATGCCTCTGAGTACTAAAGTCAGCAATGATGATGTGGGATATGTTTTTGGGACTGATATGTTGGCTGTTGTTTATATGTGAACAAAATTACATTTAGAGTAGATTGTGTGTAGTTACCTTGATGTGAGTACATATATAGCAGTGTATAAGCAGGTGCAAAAACCAAAAAAACCAATCTACCTAATGTGGGTACCAGTTACATAATCTGGTTACCTCTTAACAAAAAACAAAAACCCAAAAACCATTGATGTTTACAACATTGGATTCAGTTCAACTCTGAAGAGAAGTACTCATCACCCTCTTCATTGTTGAACTCAACCATGTCTGCATTGATAGCCCCATTCTGTTCTCCTAGCAGTGTTGATGTCTTCTGGATTAAGCCTATGTCTATGCTCAAGGAATCTGGCAGTGTCCCTGCCCTTGATAGTTTGTCTTTTCCCATATGTGGCAGTTTGTAGTTGTTGCCTCCTTTATGTTCCATGATTTTAGTTAAAACTTGCTGGTAACTCAACCACACCTTGTTTAGGGTTTCTGGACTTAGAGCATTATATGCTCCTTCCACTGCATCTATCAGTTCAGCTACTGTACTTGGAGCACACTGGTCTTTTAAAGATTGAATTGCTCTGAAAAATCCAAGGTCTAGGACATTTAAGTCTGGGGAGTTGGGGGGTTGGTTACATAGGGTGATCTGAAATCCATTGCTGTTACCTGCTGCCACAAAGTCTGTGTCTATTCCTTGAATGTGTGGCCTTGCATTGTCTTGTTGAATCTGTATGATTTTGGATAACTGTGATGGCCAATTTTCTTGGATAGCTGGAATTACTGTATTTATGAGCATTTCCTTTGTGATTTGTTTGGTAACACTGGTGATTGCTTTCACCTCTACCACCCCCCTTTCCCTGTTCTTGCTCTTCCTTTTTGCCTGCATTTTTTCTGTGAAATGAAATATCCCTACTTTTCCATCCCACAACAGTTCTTTATTCTCCCCAAAAAGTGGTCTCCCAACCACACATAAGAACATAACTTTTGCTATGAATCTTTTTGATTTACATGCTCTGTATGGATCTTCCTCTTCTGGAAGGAGATAAAATTTCTGGAAAGTTTTTGACATAAAGAACCATTTCTCATCAATGTGCAACACATTGTGAAANAACCTTAACCTAGAAATCTTATTAGCTTCTGTAAGGTACGGTTTGATAGCATTAGAATGGCTCCTAAGCATACCTCTCTTTACCCACTCATGAACTGTGGACTTAGGCTTCCCAATGGCTGCTGCTAATGCTCTCAGATTGGTCCTCTTTCTTAGAGGAGTGTCTGCAACTACTTGTAAATCCATGAAAGCCCTCTTCCTGCCACTGTTTCCTGCAATCCTGCTGCTCACATCGATGGCAACCCCATCCTCTAACTGTTTTTTTGCAATAGCCCATATTCTGCCGACTGTTTTTCGACAGATATTAAACTCTGAAGCGAGTTTGTTGATTTGCCCATACTGAGCTGAAAATGTACCATCAGGATTCTCTTTGCAATGACGTAGTAGTGCTTCAGCAATCAACTGCCTCGTTGTGTTCTCCAAATTATTGGAGTTTATGTCTAAACTCATTTACGTGTTTACGTGCAGGCCACCGGGAAGACAAGAGGAAAACAGCAAAAAGAAGAAGAAACTGAAAAAGGGCATGAAGAAGAAGAATGTCAGATTTGGGTGCTGTGACTGGTTTCTAAAAGGAGAATATGCTTGAAGAATGTGGCTGCTAAAAATAGAAAGTGCTGAAGTGGGGGTTTTAAAGTGATGTAATATCCCATTTTGAATGGGTTTTAGGGGTAGTTTTGGGCGGGTAGTTAAAAAATGGGGGGGAATATGAATTTTTTTTGGTGTTTTGGATTGTAAAGTACACTTTTTCCACTTTCTCCCAATGATTGCAAGATTTGACTTTTACTTTATGTTCCATCTGCCACTTTCTCTTCTTTCTTATCCCCACCCCTTTTTTTTAAAGCAAGGGTAAATTAGACATTTCAAAGCCTTTTTCCACTCCTCTTAAAAATAAGGAAAAGTCAAAGTGGGACTATCATTCCCAGACGGAGGGAGTATTAAACTGATTGAGCTCTTTTTCCTTAATACGGTAGGAGTAGTAGATGTAATTAAGCTTTTAAAAAAGGTGTCTCATACTCCGTACATATTATGCTTCATTATGTTATTAATGGTATACTCCGTATTTTAACTTTTTTCACTTTAGGACTCGTTGTCTTACATGCATTCCACATTTCCACTAACACTATTCTATAAACAATAATCTTTCTACCCTTACCCAATAGACACTTCAACACTAAGGCTTTCCAAACAAATTAAAGAATATGTAACTCATAGTGATAGATAGAGACAAAGAGGATCTCACATTGAAACTTAAAAAGAAAAATAAATTGGTAAATAAGTTCTTGAGTTAGACTTAGTAATCGATTAAATTCAATCTTTTAATGTGGTTCAATCCAAGTGTCTTATGACCCAATCCGGTAATCCCTATCTATCTTAAATTTCTATCATGGTATCGAAGCAAGGTTTCTTAAAATTCTACAGTTGATTGGCCGATCGACATTAGCCGTGTGTGGAGGATGTTTTAGCCCCCCTCATTTGTTAAGATGTTCATCTAGAATTTCATTCCTAGCAACCCATATGTCTTTAACCTAGTTGCTCGTATGGGAAAACGGCTTGTAGCCCATGAAACCTGATTATTCGTCTGGAAGCCCATGCCCAACGATTTCTGGTCATTTAGGTGTTGGAACTTTCAATCTTTTCATTTCCTAGAGAGGGGAGTCCATTTGCAAGTGGTCAACCAATTAGATTTAAAATGACTCGATTATCTACTTGACGGGAAGTGTAAAAGAGGACCCCACATCAAAATTTGAAGAAAAAATAAATTAGTATATAAGCTTTTGTGTTGAATCTAGATGAGAAGAATACAAAAATATCCTTTAATTAATCGTCATTTGAACAGAACGGGGCCTTAGTAATCCCACAATATCTTTTAATTAGCTCACCAATATAGGTTTCGCTACTTGTATCGGAACATTTATGGGATAAATTTACAGTATAGGAGAGAATTGCACATAAACCTAATATAACGAGGCCAATTCTTCTACACAACATGTCACATTTGAAAATCAATTTCTAATTTACGTAGCCTTTTATTCATTTTTAGCGCATAATATATCAAAACATTTTTCACTTAGAAGAACACACGTCCATTAATTAACAGTTAAAAACGTTAGTGAACCCAATTGATAATTATATACGTACCACGATGGATACAAAATAAATTAAGTTTCCAACATTTATAGTGATGTTATGGCTTTTCTATAATATCTTATTCATAACAAGATTGTTTAATTTATTTTTATCCTAAATAATTTAAACATAGAAAAAATGCAAAGAGCATGCTCCTCTCACGTCGTCGGGAAAATACATATAAACGCACCCTTTTAGAATTCTGAAAATAAATTTGTTGATGTAATAATAAATTGATGTGCAGATGTCAAATATTATTAGCTCTACAACTGTTCTATATCTTCATTTTCTTATGTTCCTAGTTGCGACCTTTTCTACCAATGCATCAAGAATGAGGTAACTTTCGTCTCATATCTTTTTTGGTTTTGACTTCTTACGATCTTTAATGCAATACTTTAATTATTAATATTTCTATCTTTATACATACATATATATACGTAAATTATAAAAATATAATATTTCAAAATTATATTTAAAAATGAATATGTCAATATTAAATTTATATCTCAATGCGATTTCTTTTTTCTTCTGTAATGTGTGATCTAAATCTTAAATTGTTAACTACAAAAATTAAAATTGGACGAAAGATAAAAAAATGAGAAATGTCATTTGTGCATCACATCTTAAATTTTACACACAAGCTAGTGTCACTAGAACCCTACCGTATGAGTGTGTGTGTGTATTCAAAATTTGTAGTAAGTTATTCCCACCATCTATTCTTAATCGGAAAATCTGATTTTTTTATACATCACAAGTTGATCAAATATAATATTGCTTCAAAAAAAATATATAATATTATCCTTTCTACATTTATTAATTTTTTAATGTATCAAAAAGTTATAGTGTTCAGTTAATAAGAAGAGTAACACGTTACATTTAAATGAATGTTGTACGTGTATAAGTAACATATCAGTGTTTAATTTGCTTTTAGGCCCGTTTGGTACACGAAATTCAAATTATAAAATTGGAATTAAGGACTTCAATTCGAATTCTGGTGTTCGGTAGCACTAAATTTATGTCGATTTGAAATTGATAGTGTAAAATATGAATTGGAATGGGTGAATTCAATTCTATGGAATTAAATCCCATGAAATTTTAATTCCAATTCAATTTCAAGTCCATCAATTACGTACACCAAACGGACCCTTAGACCCCGTTTGGTACAAAGAATTCAATTTATGGAATTGGAATTGAGGACTTCAATTCCAATTCTGGTGTTTGGTAGCACAAATATTATGTGGATTTGGAATTGATAGTGCAAAAAATGAATTGAAATTGATGAATTCAATTATATGGAATTGAATCTCATAGAATCCTAATTCCAATTCAATTCCAGTTCCACCAATTCCGTATACCAAACGGACCCTTAAAATATTTGTAATGCTGAATTTAAAATGCTATTTTTTACTGTTTTTAATTATCTTATAAAACTTTTGTAGGTTAAATTCGACGACGAATAATAAAAGCCAAAAAGTCTCGTTCTCTTTGGCATTGGATGTCACAGACACACATGTAATTGATTAATCTTTACTCGAGTCTTATATGTACTTTTTTTTCTCATAAATTAAAAATAATTTATATATAATTTTGACTAATTTATAAGTACATAGAAACACTAAAAAAAGTATTTTTTTTAAAGTGACTTAAATGAGAGATTGTCATTTGAGGCATAAAAGTTAGGAAAATTTTATAAATGATTTGATCAAAATAAAAAAAGAAATATGGTTCACGGAAAAGTATGTATGACTTAGTTTTTTTACTTGTAAGCACAAAAAAACATGTATTACGTAATCAACTATCTAATAAGTGGTTTTTACCAACGTATATGCATAAAAAACATCCACTACGTTTGCCTTTTTCACTATTGATTACTACCTCCGTCCCACTCTTTTTGTCCAGTTTTGACTTTTGAAACTGTTCATCTAAGTACGTTGACTCATCAAATTCTCTCAATGTGTAAGTCTAAAAATAGTCATGTGTGATCTTGTTTGATTCGTCTTAACGTATAGATTATTAATATATAATTTTTATAATTTTTTAATATACAAATTACAAGATAAAATGGATTAAAGAAGTGCATTGGATGGTATGCAAAAATGAAAGTGGACAAAAATAGTGGGATGAAGGGAGTATGTACTAAGGCATTCGTCCATTCTAACCTTTTCGAGTTAAGCTAGAGGAATTAGTGCTCGATCAGAACTTCCAAAAATACAAACAAGAATGTTTTTTGGGATGAGGAATCATACTTAAGATTTAATCCAAAAGAGTTTA